CTACTCCAATTACTTAAAGCAAGTAAAATCCTCTACCCTGCAAAAATGGCAAGAATCTATGGCCGAAAGCTCGAAGATTAAAGGAACTAGGCTCGTAGGGCAGAAATGGACATTATGACACGATGCACATTTTATTTTGGAGGGCCGTTAAGGGATATAGAACCGAAGTGGCTACTCCCACTGGGAGGAGGAGGGAGTGGAGAGGGGTGAGGAGGGAGGGGGAGAGGGNCAGGGGGAGAGGGGATGGTGTTGAGGGGAGGGGGTAACCGAGGTCGAGGGAGAAAAAACCAAAATTGTTCAAATGGCGGCTGCTTTAAATTCAAAATGGCCGGATTTTTTTTTTTTAGAAATCTGATTTCAAATGTGTTAATCTCATGCCAAAATACCCCTAAATTCCAAGTTTCAGGCAAATCCATACGCACATAACCGAAATGTCCATTTTCGGCCAATTTGAACTTTAACCGACCGCCTTTTTGAAACGGTTTGAGATATTGACTTCGCGCTTGCGCAAAAACTTTTCTTTTTATATACTCTTTCGAACGCTCCCACTCCCCTCTCCCCCTCCCTCCTCACCCCTCCCCACTCCCTCCTCCTCCCAGTGGGAATAGCCACTTCGGTTCTATATCCCTTGCTGGTATAGACTTTTACAGGGTGAGCGAAAAGTCCCCGACCCCCCCTCTAACTTTTGAACGAATTGAGCTAAGGAAATGAAACTTTGGGAATGTTCCTATCTCAACGTGGACCATCTTTTGGGGGGGGGGGTCAAAACTTTGGTCCCCCTCTCAGGGGGGACGGCCCCCCCAACTTTTTTTTTCAAATAACAACCCCTATCTTGTGATACCTCATTCGAAAAAGCATAGAAAAATTAGAATTTTGCCGCAAACCGCAGATCAATTTCTTAATTTTTGACCAAGTTATGATAGGTCAAAGGTCAAATTTGACCTATTTTCAAAAAATCATAACTCCGGTTCAGATTATCGTACAGAAAAAAATAAAACGGGAAAATGTACCAAATTGTGTCCGCTTTAAAGTAAAAATTGCAGAAATCACTTCGATTTAATTTTAAGGGGGGGGGGCTCGGACCCCCAAATACGTCAATTCAAAGGTCATTCAATTTTCCCGCGAAATAAGCCAATTTCCCCTGGATTTGCCTCCACATTATCTCAGTAAGGTCAAAATCAGTTCAACGTTACGTTGGCAAGTCCCCAAATTTCGGGAAAAGTTAAAAGAACGAAATTTAAGGTGATTAAATTTGACCGTTTAAATTTCGTTTTTTTTTTTAACTTTTCCCCAAAGGGGACATGCTAGAGCCCCTTTATACTGAGAGTCAAGACAACACCCCTCATGGAGTCACAAACGGGAATAAAGATTACAGAAATTGAACGTTTTTCGTAATCTTTTATCGGCCCATTCTCGAATTCCTTTCTTCGTTCCTTCCCTTATTCCGTTTGTTCCTTGCCGAACCCGTAATTCCCCGGTCCATTCCAGATTATAATCTTTGCAATCGGTGAAAATGTAATCTTTATTCCCGTTTGTGACACTGTGAAGGCCTAAAATACGGGAACCAATCAGAAATGGATTCACATTGTCTTGACTCTCAGTATAAAGGGACTCTAGGACGTGCCAACGTAATGTTGAACTGGTTTTGACCTTACTGAGATAATGTGGAGGCTAATCCAGGGGAAATTGGTTTATTTCGCGGGAAAATTGAATGACCTTTGAATTGACGTATTTGGGGGTCCGAGCCCCCCCTTAAAATTAAATCGAAGTGATTTCTGCAATTTTTACTTAGAAGCGGACACAATTTGGTACATTTTCCCGTTTTATTTTTTTCTTTACGATAATTTGAACCGGAGTTAGGATTTTTTGAAAATAGGTCAAATTTGACCTATCATAACTCGGTCAAATATTAAGATATTGATCTGTGGTTTGCGCCAAAATTCTTAGTTTTTTATGCTTTTTCGAATGAGGTATCACAAGATAGGGGTTGCTATTAGAAAAAAAAAGTTGGGGGGCCCCCGTCCTCGCCTGAGAGGGGGACCAAAGTTTTGATCCCCCTAAAAGATGGTCCCCTTTGAGATAGGAACATCCCCAAAGTTTCATGTCCCTAGCTCAATTCGTTCAAAAGTTAGAGGGGGGGTCGGGGACTTTTCGCTCACCCTGTACAACGTGATTGTAAAAAATTCTGACGCAATGAGTCCTACGTCCAAAATCTGATTACGGCGGGCTCATCTGCGGACTTTGACCTGTCGATAGCCGCAAAAATCATGGAAATCGGCCCGGTAAAACGCTGGAACTAAGCGTTACCAGATATGCAAATAAAAGGTACCAGAGCTAAAAAATATAGAAATTTAATATTTTTAACTAGCACCCACATAACATATCTTTTTGTACTAGACATCTGTTCCCACCAATTGAAAGTCAACAAAATATTTCCTTTTCTGAACTGATGAGAATGGATTATCTTGTTCTGATAACCTAAATAAGTTTTATCTGTGCGCCCAAAAAACTATGCATTCAAGCTAAAAATTATCTTGGCAGATTCAATTTTGGCACGATTTCAGTGAATGTAAAGTACAAAATTTAAGTTGCACAATTCTAGCAACATTGAAATGCTCTTGGTTCCTTTTCAAAAGTTGCAATCCAATGGATATTTGATTAGACCCGACACTACGAAAGTACTTACACTTTGGTAACGTCCTCAAATGTTCCATTGCCAGAAATGGTTTGATGTGACAGATTCTCGTTTTGTTGGAAATCAATAGATGTTTCTGGAGCAATATATTTTTTCTCTTTCCTCAAATCTAATTGATTTAAATTTTATTTATACTTCCATCCATGCTATTAAAAGGAGAATTCCTTGAGAGAGTGCATTATGATCATGGAAAACAAGTCTTTGCTATGTTTTAATCATTGATACAACCTCCTGCAATAACCTCCGATGAGATGCTTCGGCATGGTTCATTTATTGAAGATACTTAGTTTTTGTTCTCAATTCCCTTCCTCAGGTAGGTAGGTGCCAAGCGCCGCCAGGTAAATAGCGTGAGCTGCAATACCTACACTCATTCATAATGTCAACGTGGTAAAACTTTATTGCCATCATTTGAGTTTTTCCTCCATGCTTCAGACTGATGTGACAGTGGAAGTAAATTTTAAATCTATTCTGAACATTACTGAGAGGCAGATGTATAATAAAATCATGAAATAGTGCTGAAAACTCTACCTGTAAATGGGTGGTAGAAAAGCTAATTTGTGATGCAGAAACGAGGTTAAAGAGCTTTTCCCAATCATTCAGCACAAAATTGAGATTAACTCTTCAGGGGAATTTAGAAGTAGAAGGAAGGACTGAAGAAATGAACCGCTTTATTTAACGGCTGTCGTTTTGACTTAATGAGAATTGGGCTTTCAAGGCAAAATTAGAGATGCATCCACTTTCAAAATCATACCAATTATTCCTTCTAGGTCAAGATTCGATCTAAGTTAACTGCATGCATGTTTCAAAAATGAAAGTTAAGAGATCATGGCTTCTTTTAAGAAAAGCTCTATTAGCTCTAAGGGATCAACTCTAACTCGATCTGCGAGAGAGACATTTAGGAGGGTTACCAGAAATAGTGAGGAAATCCAAGATGCATTCATTAAACAACTAAAAGGATGTGCAGAAAGTTCTCGAACACACAGGTTTGAGAGAAAAAAAATTATCGGCTCAAATGCTGCACAGCTTGAGGAGAGACAATCTCATGAGAGCCCTGCAATTTTTAGGAATTACTGGTAAAAATTACTCAATTTTGATTTCTGTTTAAAAGAGGTAAATTAGAATAAAAATTGTTATCTCTAAAGAATTTAAGACTGATGACCTACAATTTAGATGTTGGACTTGTCTCATAAAAATCCAGTGATTAATTGAACACACTTGGCGCTCTAGTTAACGTGTAAAAAGTGAAAATGAGCAGGGGCACAGTCTGTAAGACACTTCGTAATCCGGCAATAGTTTAAGTCAATTCGTTCAAGGGTCTATTTGAATCAGTGAGAACAAAAACACAGCAACTGGGAAATATGAAAATAATCAAGACACACACACTAAACAGCACTGTAGGTGAAGAAGTTAGTTTAAGATACAGATTTTTCCTGACGAAAGACAAGTGCTTATGGACTCTTTAAAGGTCAAAGTTGGAACAGATGCCCTAACTCCAATGACCTTAATGTTAGGTAACTGTTTTTAATGGAAATTGGGCATTTTCGAGTTACCCAGTAGATGCGTTTGCATTCTCACTGATTCATTTATCATTAATATGGCTCTTTCTTAGGAGGAAANGGGGGGGGGGGGGGGGAACATAGGAAAAGAAGTGTTATCTCCTGAAAGAACCCCGCACAGAGCATGGGGTCAGTGGCTCTAGATGAAACTTTAATAGATTAACATTAAGTTCGTAATTAAGGGAAAGCCAAAAATTAGCTCTCTTAAGCGAGTAGAAGCCGAGATATTCGCGATTGAACTCTGACTATTTTCTGTGCGGCAGAGGCAAATTCTCCGTGTCGCCTTACCTTGCTTGAGCACTTCGGCCAGGAAACCCCCTCTCCCCACCAGTTGACTACGATGTCGCATTGTTTACACTCACTCCTTTCATTAGGATGCTCCGTTCCGGCTGTGCGATATGGAGTTCCCTGCTTCTCACACCTCTCAGAGGAGAGGGGACTCAGAATTCTACTGCCATGCTGTGGCATGCTAGAAAATAGTCCAGATTCAATTGCGAATATCTCGTTTTCTACTCGCAAAAATGAGCTAATTTTTTGGCTTTCCCTCAAATATGAACTTTATATCAATCTATTAAAGTTTCATCGACTTTCATCGAGAGCCACTGACCCCATACTCTGTGCGGGGTTCTTTGAGAGACATTTTATAGGATGCCAATGAGCTGGAACATGAATATGTGGAAGGCTAGAACTTCCTGCCCCCTTCTTGTGAAGTATTGAGCGATTTGCAAATAAGGGTTAGAACGACTAGAATAAAATGAATTAGTTTTATTGATGGCATCCATGATCCGAAATTAGAAGAAAGGCATTAAAAATTAAAAGGATGTTCTTAACTGGACAATGGGAAAATTTAAAATTTGTTGAAAAATTCGGTGTTGTATGCACTGATGTCCTGTATAGCAGTTGTCAAAGTATTTTATCGACACCATTGGCAGAAAAAATATAAAAGCATTTGTGAGAACTTCCACACAAGCAGAACATTACATGCTATTTGATAAAAAGTGCTGACAACAAAGAAGGTATTAACAATTAACTAGTCTGAGGAAACTCTTCCAGGATGGTTTGAAGGAAGAGACTAAATTCATAGAAAGTAAATTGATGACAGTATAAGAGAAAGGAAATTACTTAGGAGAAATGAGTTTAATCAACTTCTTCAATGGTTGGGCCACCAGCGGCAGCACCGGCTCCACCAGCCCCAGGAGCTCCTGGCATGCCTCCAGGGAAACCAGGCATTCCCTCAGCGCCACCGGCACCTTGGTACAGCTTTGTGATGATAGGATTGCACAGGGCTTCCAGTTCCTTTTGCTTGTGTTCGAATTCTTCTTTGTCAGCCAGTTGGTTTGAGTCGAGCCAGCGAATAACTTCGTTGCACTTCTCCATGATAGCTGTCTTATCAGACTCGCTGATCTTGTCCTTCAGTTTGTCATCCTCCATGGTGCTTTTCATGTTAAAGCAGTAGGACTCGAGGGAGTTTTTGGCTGCGATGACCTGACGTTGCTTTTCATCTTCGTGCTTGTACTTTTCAGCATCAGACACCATTTTCTCAATATCTTCCTTGCTGAGCCGACCTTTGTCATTTGTGATCGTGATTTTGTTTTCTTTACCAGTGGACTTTTCAATGGCAGTAACGTTCAGGATACCATTGGCATCAATATCGAATGTAACTTCAATTTGAGGTACACCTCTTGGCGCGGGAGGAATGCCTGTTAGCTCGAATTTCCCGAGGAGATTGTTGTCCTTGGTCATCGTGCGTTCTCCTTCATAAACTTGGATTAACACACCAGGTTGATTGTCGGAGTAAGTTGTGAAAGTTTGCGTTTGTTTGGTAGGAATGGTTGTGTTACGCTTGATGAGGACAGTCATGACACCACCAGCAGTCTCAATACCAAGAGACAATGGTGTAACATCAAGAAGCAGCAAGTCCTGGACTTCCTCAGATTTGTCTCCGTGGAGGATAGCTGCCTGGACAGCAGCCCCATAAGCAACAGCTTCATCAGGATTGATCGATTTATTCAGTTCTTTACCATTGAAGAAGTCTTGCAGTAACTTTTGAACACGGGGAATACGTGTGGAACCACCGACCAAGACGATATCATGGATCTGTGCTTTGTCCATCTTAGCATCACGCAGTGACTTTTCAACCGGTTCCATGGTTGATCTGAAGAGATCAGCATTTAATTCTTCAAATCTAGCTCTGGTGATGGAGGTGTAGAAGTCGATACCTTCAAAGAGAGAATCAATTTCAATGCTGGTTTGACTAGAGGATGAGAGGATACGCTTAGCCTTTTCACAGGCTGTTCTTAATCGCCTCAATGCTCTTTTGTTGGTCGTGAGATCCTTCTTGTACTTGCGTTTGAACTCCTGGGCAAAGTGATTCACCATGCGATTATCAAAGTCTTCTCCTCCCAGGTGAGTATCTCCTGCGGTTGATTTGACTTCAAAGATTCCATCTTCAATAGTTAAGATAGATACATCAAAAGTACCACCACCTAAGTCAAAAATGAGGACGTTGCGCTCTCCAGATCCCTGTGATCAAAGAAAAAAAAAGGCTTATGAGAACAATGAGGTTATTGGACACTTTAACAAAACATTTTCAGATCTGAGCACAATGGTCAACACACTTTGTTTCATTGGAAAAGTCAGCAAATTCATGTATGTACTTAATTATTGCGCTTTTCCTGATCTCAAGGAAAATGTTTTAAATTTTGTATGCTGTTAATGGACTTAGTTGGAAACAAGTTATTAGTTCATTATACTTTGGTTTGCAAATATTAGACTTCAAAAGAAAATATATGAAAGGGCAGTAGACACAGACCCCCCCCCCTCCACAAATGCCCTGCTTCCAAATTTAATGAAATTCATACCAGTGATAGACTTTCAACCTCCGAATCCAGGGTAAAATCGTACCAGGGGCGACAGTGCTCAGTTTCAAGTCAAAACATGTTCATCCCCATAGGTTTAAAACGATTTGAGATATTGAGGTGCGGTTTGTACAAGTGAATAATACTTAAAAAGAGCTATAAATTCAAGGGTAGGTTTTATCAAGTGTTGCCAAATTTAACATTTTACATTCAATTTTTTGGAGGAGTATGAGGTTAGAGAGCAGATCGAGTAAAAAAAGAGCTTTTATTGTGTGGTTGTTCTGTACCTATAGTTGCTGGGTGTGCGAAGTAAATCTGATAAACCTATGAACACAGCACTACAAAGGCATGCAGGAACATAAAAAACCAATGTTGTAAAAATCTGTACGTGAACTCAGATTCACTTAATTGATATGGCGGAGCTATTGTGTCGCTAGACTCATGCCTTCAAAGTTCATTTGATGTAATTTTTGAGATTGCAAGGCATGCCATGTTGCCTCTTATTCGAGTGCACATTCTTGTTCTTACAATGCTTAATTTATGAATAAAATATGACACTTTTAATGGATTTCCAATCAATTTGTTCTTTTGATTATGTTTTAGTAAGTTTGACATATTTTACCACTAAAACTTGAAAAAATGAGAGCTTTTTGGAATTTACGAAATTAAAAAGGAAGCAGGGAATTCCAGGAGAAGGGGGGGGGAGGGAAATCTGTGCAAAAAGGCCTTATAAGGACAAAAATGGAAATAAATGGATTGCATTTTCCAAAAAGGAACCACGAGTATTCCAATGTCGCTAAGATTGTGCAACTTTTTTGACCTTGCAAACATAAACTGATCATCTAAACAAGTTTTATCTTTATTACCTATTAACAAAAATTCAATACGAAAATTACGATAGTAGATCTAACTTTTTCCAAGGTTTCAGTAATTATATTGCAAGCAATGTAAGCTGCACTATCTTAGCAACAATGGAACGCTCTTGGTTCCTTTTTGCAAAATGCAATCCAACCTGCAACCTAGGTGACTACCTGAAGGGGGGAAAAAACATTATGAAGAGCGAATTTGAATCTCACATGTTACATTTGTGAAGAATCTATGTGTACTGAGTTTTTTCGTTATCATCAAACAGACGAAAAAAGTCTTTTCAATATAGGAGTTCTTTGCCAAAAAAAAGGAAACACATTGTGCATGGTAGGTTTAGAAATCAAACATATTTGAACATTCTCATCTCCACAGAGGAAGAACAGATGTGAATTAACTTCACGGACTACCTTCCACCAAAGATGATCAGTACAAGGCCTTCACATAAGACAAGTCTTGAGTTGGATACTAGTATATGTTATACTGATTTTTATCGAATGCTCAGGTACTTACACTGGCCTTCTTGTCTAAACCATACGCTATGGCAGCAGCTGTAGGTTCATTGATTATCCTAAGGACATTCAAGCCAGCGATAGCTCCTGAATCTTTTGTGGCTTGTCTCTGCGAATCATTGAAATACGCAGGAACTGTGATTACTGCATTTGTTACCGTTTTGCCCAAATAAGCTTCAGCTGTTTCCTTCATTTTAATTAGAACCATTGAGGAAATCTGTAAAAACATGGAACAAATTAGTATGGCGCTTGCAAAGACAGGAGGTTTAGATATGGAGAGCTGTTGAGGTATTGTAAAATCATTAGGCGACAGGCGAAAATTAGGCTTACAACCCCCCCCCCCCCCNATGCTTTAGAACTAGATTTTCAAGTGCTGCTGAATAATGAGCATGGCTGCAAAAATGATGTACACAAAATTCGGGGATTAATAAAAGGCACTCATGCATTCGACTTCTTACACTTGTATGGGCACGAGAGCCAGACAGAAGTTACTTAAGTGCAAAACCATGTATCTTTGCGACGTTGCTGCCTCCCTAGAATACTTCTGCAGAAAACTAGTTGACTTAATTTCTTGGAAATATCATTGATTTATCTTTTCTATTGACAGAATAATCTTCATACGTTTCAAGCTATGAAGTTGCCTACTTGCTGTTAAATAAAAATAAAATGGGAGCAGAAATTTTGCAACACCGGGATGGGGATACATAGTTTTGCGACTCAGCTGTCTTGCCACAAGCTGTCAGCTATTGGACGCATTGCACTTTCTCACGAGCCGGACCATCTCCAGTGATAAGGCATTTCAGTCCTTTTTTCCCCTTTTGCACACGCCACCTTCGGAGATGAGTTGACCTTGACACGTGCCCCAACACCCAGCATCCTGGGACCCCGCCGCTCGCGGATACGCGAAGCTTTAAAAGCCACGGCCGCCAGGCCGCTGGGTCTAACACTGCCTCCCCTTGGGCGACGTTTATGAGAAGGTATGATTTGGAAGGATTTGTTAGATATTTGTGCTATGTATCATGACTCGGTTTGTATTTCGTAGCTGTGTGCTACTTTCTTCATTGGAGCTTGTGGGTGGCATATTTTTGCTATATACAGTGTTCACTTTACTGTATCTCAGTTTTCATATTTTTCATTAGTCTGTACTCCCATGGAGTCCATTTCCAGTTTCTAGTTGCTTTTCCGAGCTTTGTCGTGGAAATCCATGAGCATGATGTCTGCTCGAGAAAAGGAGTTCATTTTATGTTTCTATTTGCTTTTCTGAGTTTGGATCATCCTCGTGTATTTCCTGCGCGAAGCGTCGGTCTTCGGATCGCTTTTGCGTGGAAATCTATGAGTATGATTTCTGCTCGGGAAAGGGGGCCGTAGTTCTCTCCGGGGATGCTATTTCTTTTGCTTCCGCGATTTGCGCGCTGGGACATGACGGGCATATCTTTTCTAGGCTTTCCCTCTTTTGTGTTTTCCTCTCATCCTGCCTTGCCTGCGTGAAGTGCTGGTCCTCAAGATCGCTTTGGCGCAGGGGAAAGCGTTTGAGTATGAGCAGGAGCACATGTGATGGGACGAGCTGGGAAGGGATCCCTGCCTGGCCACCTCGGCTGCAGGTCACATTGGGAAAACGCAAACCTTGAGTTTGCTATAGCCATATTTTTGACCTCTTATGAGTTTTCTTAGTATGTTTTTTTTCTTGCCCGGGTTTTTCCTCCCACGCATTGCTGAGCTAGCTGGAGGATTATTTTTGATAGCCCCGAGCCCGAGGCACATCAGCCATGAATTGCAGGTTCTTCAATGTTTTCTTGTTCCATCAGCATTTCCAGGATTCCCTTTCTCTCTTATTCCCCACAACGAATGACTTGTGATGTGACGCAAAGAGCCGTATGCAAAAACGACTTTTTTCACCCCCACTAAAACTTATGCGAATTTCGTCTATCAGTTACCCATACTGGAGCGCTTCCTTTCCCAAATTTGCAGACCCCCAAAAAATTTTGGGGGGCGCAAAGGGGGGGTGGAAGTCAAAACTTGTGAACCTCGATATCTTCGAACGAAAAAAGATATTGAGGCCCGGTTTGGACGAAAAATCGTCTAAAATAGCATACTTTAAGATTCTAAAGGTCAAAATCCCAAAATTTCATTTTTTGAGGAAAAACAATTTCTTGTAAACACACTAAGCTAAGAGAGCACATTTTAGTATTCAAACCAAAACCAGTTTTTTAAATTGTTCGTCTTTTTCCGCATCCAACGAGTGGTCATACAGGGTGATCCAAAAGTCCCTTCCACCCCCCCCTAACTTTTTACCTAATGGAGGTAAAGATTTGAAACTTGGGGATAATCATAGGTCAAAGGGAGCTACTTTTTGGCCCCCCTAGAATTTTTAGGGGGCCCACAACTTTTAATTTTCAAATGGGAAGACCCCCTTTGTGATAGCTCGTTCGAAAGAGCATAAAAAAAGAAAACTTTTCGCGCACACCCGAAGTCAATATCTCAAACCGTTTCAAAATGGCCGCCGGTTGAAGTTTAAAATGGCCGAAAATTGTCACCTCGGTTTTTTCCTGATGGATTTGCCTAAAACTTGGAATTTGAGAGTATTTTGGCATAAGATAAACAAATTTGAACTTAGATTTCTAAAAAATCAATTTTGGGTCATTCTGAACTTTAACCAGCGGCCATTTTGGAAATTTTGGTTTTCTTGAAAATCTAACGTCAAATTCGTTTTTCTCGTGTCAAAATACCCCTTCGTACTAATTTTCGCGCAAATCCATCGGGAAAAAACCGAGGTGACAATTTTCGGCCATTTTAAACTTCAACCGGCGGCCATTTTGAAACGGTTTGAGATATTGACTTCGGGTGTGCGCGAAAAGTTTTCTTTTTTAATGCTCTTTCGAACGAGCTATCACAAAGGGGGTCTTTCCATTTGAAAATTAAAAGTTGGGGCCATTGCCCCCCCCCCCCAAGGGAGGACCCCTGAAAATTTTTGGGGGGCCAAAAAGAAGCTCCCTTTGACCTAGGATTATCCCCTAAGTTTCAAATCTTTACCTCAATTACGTAAAAAATTAGAGGGGGTGGAAGGGACTTTTGGATCACCCTGTATAAGCTGGGAAACCGAACGGTTGCGGAGTTATGAGCGATTGAAGTTTCCGCTCAACGCGCGCCGACCGGAGACTTCAATCGCTCATAACTCCGGAACCGTTCGCACAGTGGGAAAAACAGCCGATCTAGCGCCGAAAAAGTCGGAAAATCAGCATCAATGAAAATGGCAAAAATTGGTATGTATGTGTCCCTTAGGATCTACTGATCAAGAATCAGCCAAGTTCTACTTCATAAGATCAATCTTATCTGCGATAATAATAAGAAATGCACCGGTTAGCGCGCAGCTGGTTTAGGACCGCCTCAGAGTGGTTACATTCAGTAGCCTCGTGTGTTCGTCTAAGTGTGTCATTAGTGACTTTTAATTTTTTTTCAACAAGGGCTTGCTCACCTAAACATAAGGATACCAATTTTTTCTTTTTTACATACTTCTATGACTTACAGCAATTTTTGAAAGTTAGCCTCTGATATAGTCAGAATTCAAACTTTTAAGGACTGCATCTTACAATATCCAAGGATATCAAGGAGATATTTATATCCAGTTACTCGTTATACTATCAAGATCACAAACATCCTTGGTTGAAAGCAGCCTTTCCCAGCCTTTCAGAGATATTTGATCAAAACTGAGTCGAAACATATGCTCAGATTGATTGTAACTGTCGTTTTGCCTAGCAGCCTTATGTTGAATCGCTGAGTAGCGTAGGGAAAGTGTGTGCGCAGAGCGGTGCGCGCGCAACTCCCCCAACGCACTTTTATACTACAGCTATTTCCGCTCCAAAATAGCCATCACCTCTAGCCTAGCGGATAGCGTGCTTCGCTATTATTGTCTTAGTCCGGGTTCGATCCTCGCCGAAACAGATGTTTTATATTATATCCGTGCAAATTTTTACTTTTTAGTTGTCTCTCTTGTACTATATTTATTAGGATGAGGCTATTCGACAGTACGGTACCGACGGATAAATGGCTATTCGTCGGTACCGTACCGATGAATAAATGGCTATTCGTCGGTACCGCATCGGCGACATTAATTAATAAAAATGTGTTGTCAAGCCTTGGTCCGAATGGACAAGCAAACGCCATCTATGATGCTCTGTTGTAATTACACGGAGATACTAAGTGCTACAAATGTACAACTATTGTCAGTTCATGGTAGCTGCTAGACGGCTTGCGAATCTTCAGTATCTGTCGCTGCCCCAACTAACAATGATCATAGTGCAGAGAGCTATTCCACCACCAGCGAATCTTCGGTTTCTGTTGCTGCCCCAACTAACAACGATCATAGTGCAGAGAGCTATTCCACCACTAGCGAATCTTCGGTTTCTGTTGCTGCCCCATCTGACGAAAATGTCAGTGCAGAGAGCTTCAAGAAGCTAAAATTTAAGAATAAAGTCATTTCACGAGGGCGACCTAAACTGCCAGCAAGACAACTTTGTTCCTTTAATCGCACCGTTGCCGACCGACAATCTGTGGAAAATCCCCCCGAAAAACGAAAACGAAAGAAAACACCTGCAAATGAAACTAAAGGCCCCACCACCCGAAAAAAGAAGCGTTCTTGATGATTCTTTTGACAGAGTAGTACATTTCAGTATTATGATGATTCATTTGACAGTGAAGTACTTTTCAGTATTATGATTATTTATTTGACAGAGTAGTACATTTCAGTATTATGTGTGAGTGTTAAATACACAAATTAAATTTGGAGAATATTTCTTTACAACTCGTGTTGGGTTTTTTTCCCATCTTTCACCCAATTTTTAGCTCTAAACTTCCACCAAAATATTATTAAGAAATCATATCTTTAATATAATTTACGTACTAAAATCAACGTACGGTACCGACGAATAGCTATTTATTCATCGGTACGGTACCCACGAATAGCTATTTATTCATCGGTACGGTACCGACGAATAGCCATTTATCCGTCAGTACCGTACCGACGAATAGCCATTTCGTATTTATTAACAGAATGCGCATGTACAATACTTCATATTTATAAGATTTTGAGGAGCTGGAATGTTGTGGAAAATTATTGAGCACGCAAACCATTCAAAAAAAAAGGGGGGGGGGGAATCAGACTAGCACACTTCGTAGTGTAGAAAGTAACCAGCAATAACAAAAAAAGCAAGAAGTATTTTATTAATTTAACTCCACTGACCGATCAGGAACCACAAACCAAAGCACAGTCTCCAGGAATGTGAATTACAGCAGGTTTGCCGACTAAATTTAGCTTGATACCTCTGAAAGGACCCCGCACACCTCTTATGGGAAGCTGCACCACGACCGATTGCCTTCTGACTTATGTTTTTCAATTCTCCTCAAGATGCTGATCAAAAGTTATAATTGCGCCAACTTTCTACGTTGCACCGTTTTCGCAAAAACCTAAGAGAAGATTCAATTATTCGGCGATAAAAAGCCAGAAAGATTCCTCATTTCAGTACTCGAGTGAACAAATCAGGGGAACTCCCGCACTGAGCGGCAGTCTTATCTCGGATTCCGCTCGCCGTTTTGCTCGACCATCCAAATCAGATTCTTGAGGAGTATAAGAAGAGGAAAGTCTGAACGTCTACCGGGCGAGTGCAGGAAAGAGATAGCCTCTGAGTCGGCAGGTACAGATAAGAAGACGGACACGCGCTACGTTTTTTCCTTAATTACATCGGGCCTGTCCTCAAATGCTTTGTTCTTTTTTATTCATGGTCGCCAAATAATTGAATCTTCTCTTAGGTTTTTTAAGAAAACGGTGCATCGTAGAAAGTTGGCGCGATCATAACTTTTGATCAGCATCTTGAGGAGAATCGAAAAACATAAGTCAGAAGGCAATCGGTCGTGGTGCAGCTTCCCATAAGAGGTGTGCGGGTTCCTTTACGAAAAATCGGCGCATTATGCTTTCTTTGATGCTTAGGTAGATATATAGGACCAACTAAGTGTGAAATTTTGGGATTTTGACCTTTAGAATCTTAAAGTATGTAATTTTAAACGACTTTTCGTCCAAACCGGGCCTCAATATCTTTTTTCGTTCGAAAGATAACGAGGTTCACAGGGTTTGACTTCCACCCCCCCTTAGCGCCACCCTAAAATTTTTTGGGGGTCTGAAAATTTGGGAAAGGAAGCGCTCCAGTATGAGTAACTGATAGACGAAGTCTGAATAAGTTTTAGTGGGGGGGGGCGAAAAAAGCCGTTTTGGCATACGGCTCTTTCATCTCCCTCCAGAACTTAAACAGAACTTGTAGGAGATTGTTACTGATGTGCCAAATGAGTTCCTAATTTTTCTACAGAGACTGCGTTTTTCCACACATTACTTTTCAAAGGAGACAGGACTGACCTGTTCTTGATTTGAGACTTGCATAATTCTTGTTAGCGGATTGCCTCGACAGCCTCAGAAGTAACAAGAAAATTATCTTGACCAACCTCATAGTAACTATCTGCCTCCTGCTTGGATCCTGGCCAGCCAGTAAGACTCACGAGGGATACGTACAGAAATGTACGAAAGTAACCTGGTCTAACTAGCAGGTGTGGTTGCAAATTCCACAAATTCATCTCTCATTTTTTCATATTTTCTTCAAATGTAGCAATAAAGCATGATGACACTTCTTATACAAGTTACAAAGGATTAATAGATTATGAAAATCCTGCAACCTTAGTACAATTGGCAAGGGATGGATATTCCTATCCTGAGAATCACTCCTTCTTACTTCAGAATAAGGCTCCCACCCCCTTCTTTTTCAAAGAGACTGTGTAGATAACGCTTTTGAATATTATCGACCTGTAAAAAATAACTTGTGACTGCTAGGTAGTTGAAGAAGGCTACATCAATATACCTCTTCAGGAAAGAATTGTTTAGCTTCACCCTTATATTCTACTTGAATTTTTGGCTTGGTGTTGTCATTGATTACTGTGAATGGCCAGTGTTTCATGTCAGCCTGGACGGTTGCATCATCGAACCGCCGACCAATGAGACGTTTTGCATCTGGAAAAGAAAAGGAGAATGTTAACAACAAGGGTACAGAATCTTCCAAGCTTCCACATTCACATGCGCCCAGCCCCCGCTTTCCACTTCTCCGGTCACCTTTCCACAAAATTTCCCCTCAGTTTCAAGAGTGATGACCAATTTTTTTCCACCTGTTCTTCTATCTTTTTGATGCCCGAATTAACGAGTTTTACGCGTTTCAGTGGTAACTTTATTGAATTGATCCATAAGGAAATAAACTATGCATTTCTCGATGCACAGGTGTGTAGAGAGCGGATGTACCTCTCCTTTTTTGCTTGGGGTAATCTTATTTGTTGTATTTACTCAAAGAGCTCACTGAGTATCACTTAAAAGTTGTATGAATCACATGAAAGACGGTTCTGGTATTGAAAACGTAGAGAGGCCCCAAAATAGAGAAAAGTCTGTGAAAAGATGCTTAAAATGTCATAATTTGCAAAGATGTTAAAAATGTCATACAAGGGGAGCTTCCCAAGTGTAACCGGAATTTCGAGTTGAAATTTCGCATGAAGATACCAGAGATGATTTGGACCGCGTTAAACAGAAAGGAACCAAGCCACATCAGCTACTGCCAAATTTAATTGGGCAATTTAATTTTCTACATGAAAACGGCTGTGCGGATTTTCGTGCAAATTTCAGTGAAAATTCTCCACGGTACGAAGCAAATTCCTTAAAATTTTCAAAGAAATCCGAACAAACGTTCTCTCGTAAAAAAATTTAATTGCCCAGTTAAACTTGGCAATAGCTGATGTGGCTTGGTTCCTTTCTGTTAAACTCGGTCCATTTTAGGGATGCCGTATTTTTTCGTTTTTTCGAATGGGGTCGGGAAAGCACTCAAAAAAAGGGCTAAAGATGCGGAAAAAACGCGTGCGCTAGCGGCACAAGGTAAACGTAGGTGATAGAGGCTCTGCATCCTTATCAGTACCGCATGGCCAAACGGTAGCGCACTCGCCTCGCAGGCGGGAGGTCCCAGGATCGGATCCTGATTTCAACTCGTAATTTTATTTTACTTTATGCTTGTTTATTTTTCACTTACTTTCTTTTGCACTAATCGCTCCGCAAACCGACTTACGAGGTAGAACACGTAGTGACTGAAGATTTTTTGCATATCATGAGTGGCGGTAGCCACCACCGGGCAAGTAACCTATCCTCCAACAATTGGCAACACAGCACAGCCCAGTCGAGGCAACGACACCATAGTTACACGAACTTGGCTTACAAGGGGAGGCTACCGATTGTCCCCCTCAGATCGGGTTCAAATTTGGCAGAGAGGTAGAATAGGTTAATATAAGAACCCGTATTTTATTTTAGGTGCCAATGCCCAGCCGTTTTTGAGTTATGAGTTTTTGAAGTTGCCGTTTTTTCGTGTCAGCGACGCGCTCAAGTTGAGCCTACTGTGGGCGCACCTTTTAATGCGATCCGAATGTCATTCTGCCTACGAGAGACAGTTGTCCAAGCGGTAGCGCGCTCGCCTGTGGGGCTGCAGGTTCGAAGTTCGATACTTGTTCCATATGTTCAATTTTTAAAATTGATTATTTTGTTATTTAATCGCTTCATCACAAGAAATTGTAAGTCACCTTGTAGACGTTATGATTCTAATTATTTTTTATGTATATTTTATTTTTTTAAATGAGTGTTTGACAAAAAAGGAAAAAAATATAATTAGCATCACAACGTCTACAAGGTGACTTACAATTTCTTGTGATAAAGCGATTAAAAAACAAAATAATCAATTTTAAAAATTGAACATACGGAACAAGTATCGAACTCCGAACCTGCAGCCCCATACGCGAGCGCGCTACCGCTTGGACAACTGTCTCTCGTAGGCAGAATGACATTCGGATCGCATTAAAAGGTGCGCGCACAATAGGCTCGACTTGAGCGCGTCGCTGACACGAAAAAACGGCAACTTCAAAAATTCATAACTCAAAAACGGCTGGGCATTGGCACCTAAAAAAAATACGGGTTCTTATATTAACCTATTCTACCTCCCTGCCAAATTTGAACCCGATCTGAGGGGGACAATCGGTAGCCTCCCCTTGTTAGTTGGGTTTTTAGTTGCGGTCCAAAAGCTTTTCAAAGCAACGGAGCAACGGATTTCAGAAATTTTGGTGTCTAAAGATGCGTCTCGATCCCGTCTAAAAAACTGTTGAGTTTCAAGGAGGTTGATGATTTATTAAACGAGATAATTACGCATATGTGCCTAAAATAGCGAAAAGTATCCACTTTGACCATTTTCACGTTCGGACAAAGCTATGGAGAATACGCGACATCAGAGCCCTATATAATGTTATATCAAAAGAATTGTCTTGTTCCCGTGTAGTGTGCATTTTAATTTCATTAATATCCAAGGCATCCTAAGAGAAATATTGCGTCTAAACTGCTTTTCGGGTGCAATGGGCGACCCGACCCGCCGACGCTTATCATTGAATTTCTCGCTTACACTATTCTGGAATGAAGTTATGGTTACTTCCAGGAATCATCTTGAAGATATGAGGATTCCAAAAATTATACATAAGTTGGGGTTTACTTTTACCGTTTAGGCTGTATCTTGGACAGCAACTCGAAAATCATGAAACCCGACTTCACTAACACATACACACGGTAGAGTAACAGTGTTAGTGCTCTCTGCAGTCATCAACGTCATCATCTCACGAGCGGAACAACAAAACAAAACAAATCACGAATGTTAGGTTAGTTCCTATTTCATGGACATCAAGAACGATCGAGACAATATGAAATCATTTGGTTTCAATGATTTCAATCCATTTACGACTTCAACGATGTTTGTGACAATCATTATCATCGTGTTTTACAACCTTAAGCAGAAGTCTATCGCCTCATTGTGAAGTGAATTCTGAATATCCAATCTTAGAACTCAAAACCTCACCATGCTATTCTCTCATTGTTCTCTCTTCATTTTTGGTTCAAATCAAGCGATTTAAAGTCGCTTCACTAAAATTATGTGATCTTGAATCCATTCAAGAGTGTGAAGCTCACATTTTTCTGGCATTACAGCCTTTTTACTCCTCAAATTCTACTGATATGAGTCCATTTCGCTCAAGGTTTTTCTGAGCGATACCAAGTGTTTATACATTTAAGATAAGTGAGGTTTGTCTTTTGGTTCTTCTTTTAGCAGTTTTAAAGTAAATTAGGTATTACAGTACCTTTGTCCAGTTTTGTTTCCTTGTTTAATGTTTATTAAGAGTCTTTCTACGTGAACACTCAAGGACATACATACTTACGCTCAGGTAACAATACCATTGTTTTTCTCTCACGTCAGGATGTACCTTTAAGCATGCTAATTTACCAAAGAAACTCCTCCAGTGATAAATAATTTTAAGCTTTATTACGAAGTGAAAACCTCTGTGTGGTGACGCTAAATTTCTCAGATAAGTCTCAGTTTAGACACGTAGAACAGACGTTCACTTTTGTCCGTTACGATCCCTGCTCTTATAGCTTCACATCTTACTTTGATCTCTGATTCATCGATTAATGGCACTTTTAGTTCCATTCATCATCAATCGGTTCAAAGCTATCTCAACGATGAATCATCAAACGTTATATCAAGGAAGAAATTTTCTGCTGAAAGCTACAACGGAATTGACATTGCAACTCAACTTACGAAAGCATGAACCAGGACATAAGAATCTGTCTCAAAATGAACATTTTTTCTAACTCATCAGGCAGTTTAGCAGGTAAGAAATCTACAGTTGATTAATTAAGGATTACCAGATTACATGCACAGTGGTTTTCCAACATTTACGGTAGATAGGGATATTTTTATTAATAATGATTAATGACGAAACGAATATATCAATACCATGGCCAAACTGGGAAACTACTTACCGCAATCCACTAAGTTCATCCTCAAAGCCTTTCAGAGTCTTTTCATTTCTCTGCTGATAAATAATTCAACATAATTCCTGAAAATTGTGTAATTAATGACTTCGATGCGCAGAAAATTCTTTTCTGGGATTTTAAGCGTAGTGGTCACTAACTTTTCCCTGATTTTGGAATGTCCTCTTTTGACATTAGGTGTCTCAGATAAAAATTCTTTTCACAAAAATTTCAAGTTTTTACTTGACTTAATTTAAAGTGTTTAGTCTCTTTAAACTGAAAAGTCCAATTTTTTTACTGGGAAAAGGAATTTCAATGCTCCGCAGCAAAACTACCTGACATATTTTCACAGTGAGGAGGGCTTAATTTACTAACTTTTACAGAACCTGTCACCCTGTCTATCCCTCAGAAATTCAGTGAACCAGATGAGATTCAATGAGGGTCGTTGATAACTTTACCACTAAATTGATACCGCTTAAAGGATTTTGGAGGGAGCACTTTTACCTACTAACATTGTTGTCAAACAGGGTTTATTCATCAGAGCCCTGAATTGAGGAACCAAGAGAAAATAATTTGTTTTCATTTACTCCTCAAAGATGATACTGACTATGATGCAGGTCAGTACCTATGAGAACTATATAGATCTCATAAAATTTCAGTAAACCTTGTCGCTGGGGGAAAGATCTAATACATACTGAAGATAATCATCGAATAATGTACTCTCCTAAATATAGACAAAAATTACAATGAAAATGTTCATTATTTGATGAAAAATAAAGTACAAAAATTTTCAGAGTCTCAGAGGACACCAAGAATGCCAAAAAATCTTAAAATAATTTCCTTTCACAAACAAAAATAAAAATGACACTGAACATTTTTAGCAGGGCTTCTTGATAATCAGAGAACAAAAATTTTGAGAGCTTGACACTTTTAATCCTTACAATTTTTAGATTGTAACACTAATGAGGTCTGGGAAGCTGTTGAATGCCCTGATTTCCAAACTTCTATTACTCAAGCAGCTGCACACATTTCTTTGAATTTCAATTCCATGGTAAAATTATTTCTATTGCATTGTAGTGTTGAGAATGTTGCCTATTTACTCATTGAAGGAACAATTTTTAGAGCAATTAATTTGAAATAAG